GCCCCTTCGCTCGGCGGCGGCGCCCTCTCCGCCGCCGCCGCCATGGCCGCCCTCGCCTTCGCCTCCGCGGCCTCGAGCTCGCGAGCCTCCGACTTTGCCCTCTGCGACGACGCCCTCGCCACCGCCGCCTCCTCCTTGGCGGTCTGGCGCCGAGCCTTGGCCGCCAAGTCGGCCTCCTTAGCAGCGACACGCGCGGCCGCCTTCTCCTCGGATCGCGCCGCGCGGGACGATTCCCTAGCCGCAAGGGACGCTTCCCGCATTGAGGCCTTCTGCTCTGCCTGCTCTGCCTTGGCCGCCGCCTCGGCCGCCTTGGCCTTGGCCGCTGCGAAGGCGCGTGCCTCCGCTGCATCACGCTCGGCTGCGGCGACGGCTGCCAGCGTCGCCTCACGAGCAGCTTTGGCCTGAGCCACCTTGTCTTCAGCGGATGCCTGCTTTGGCTGAGCGCGAAGCTGCCTCCTGATCTCTGCGACGGCCCGCGCGTCGCCCGCCGACAGCCGAGCATCGGGCGCTTCGACCGCGACCCGCGCCAAAGCATCTGGGTGTGGCAAAACCCAGAGGAGCGACGCGGCGATGGCCGCGGCAGTGCGGATGATCATGAGATGACTATGATGTGTGTATATGACTCGTACTGTATATAGATATGGTGAGATGACAGATGAAAGCCACAAAAAAGAAAAAGTTTTTCCGGATGAGGCGTCGCGCTCTCGCCCGGCAACCCTAGCCAGGCCTCACGCGCTGGCCGCGACCGCGACCGCTCGAGCTGTGTGTCTTGTGAGCTTGAGCACTTGAGCACTGGATAGGGTCGGTTCCGCATGGTACGGGACCCCTCGATCGTCTCGCCCTCCCTCACTGGTGTGTTCATTGGGGGGGGTCATAGTGAGCTTGTTTGTGTCTGTGTGTCGCTCGTGCGTGTCGTCATCATCTGTCCAGCGTCCACCCATACCGCGTTGGTGTCCAGTCCGAGCCTGACTGTTCTTCACCTTCCTACATACATACATACATACCGAACTGCCCGTCAGACATGTCGGAATTGTCGGAGAATAGCGACTAGCACACCTCTGAGTCCCAGAAACCCGCGAGGAGTCACACAGGTCCACCTGTGTGGTGCACGCCCTGCGAGCGGGGCGGGGTGCGCACTGTCCCTCTGTGTTCGTGTGCGTCGCCCATCTCTCCCTGGAGATGCCACTGCTCTCTCTATTTATGTATGTAAAGAGTGAGGGCAAAGATTTCGTCAGGGAGGGGGGAACTGACACTACTGGAATAGCACGCTCAGCACCGGCCACCGCCAGCACGGCGCGGGCACACAAGATCGCAACGCGGACGAAAAGCGAAGCGCACAAGCGCGCAGATGCTGGTGCGTGGTCGTGCTGCCTTGTCCCTTGGTCCGAGCATCATGCATGTCTGCCGTTTGGTCCGCTCTTTCTGAGTTAAGACCTATGCGACCGACTACGAAATACAGCAACCCACACGGGGACCTCCCGACACAAGGCACACGTGCGGTGCAAAGATGTGGCAAGCTGAAAGCGCCCGACCGGGCAGGGGGGCGCACACACAGACGGGATTGGCCACGAGGAGAGGAGAGACGAGCAGCGGCTGTCGGCCACTTGCACGCAGCTCCAATCCCGCGGCTCAAGCCCGGCACCGGCCGTCGACAAGCTGGCGTCCGGTTGGCGGCGGCCGCCGACCCGGGCGGAGACCCTCAGCCGCACGGCTACTTCACGGCGAGACGCGCGCGCCCTACTTCATCGTGTTGAGGTACGCGATCACGTCCGCGCGGTCCTTCTCCGCCTTGAAGCCCGGGAAGGCCATGTTGGTTCCCTTGATGTACTTCTTCGGGTTGGCGAGGTAGTCAAACATGGTCTGCTCGGCCCACATGATGCCCGACCCCTTGTTGGCGGCCGTGTACTTGAAGCCATCGACCTGGCCCGATTGCCTCCCCATCACGCCAAACAGGTTGGGTCCCTGCTTGTTCGGCCCGCCCTCGTTGCACGTATGGCACGTCGCGCACTTGGCCTTGAAGAGCTTGGCTCCGCTATCGGCGTCGCCGTCGCCGGGGGCGCACGTTTGGCTGGCCTTCTTTCCCATTGTTCTCCTGGGTGGGGGCGACGCGGCGAGTAAGAGCTGGCCGCAGCGGATGCGGCTGCGCTTTTGCAGGCGCGGCGGTGGCGGCGCAGCGTCTGGGGCGGGAGGAAGGGGAGGCGGCCCGGGAGGTGACGGTCGTGCGGTCTTGCTGGCGGGAGGAGGGCGGCGGCAGCGGCGGTGTCGTTTGCGACGAGCGGCGAGGGCGCGCGTGGCCGTGGGCTGTAATAGGTAGAAGGCCTGGAAAGATCGCCTCGTTGCACGTCTACCAGAATCCTTGCGTCCCCAGAAGAAATCGGTCGGCGCATGTTCTTTGTCCCTCCCTCCCTTCTCCTTAAAATCCCTGTGTGGTGGCGGCGTGCCGTCCTCCCATCCCTCCCTTGGGTTGTCCGTTTTCTTTCTTTCTTTTTTTCCCTCCCTTGGGTTGTCTGTTTTCTTTCTTTCTTTCTTTCTCCCTCCCTTGGGTTGTGTTTTCTTTCTTTCTTCCTTTGTTTGAAGGAATACAACCCCTGCCTAGATGAGTACAGCTTAAAGAGTACCCCCCGTGTGGGTCCCCGCATTACCAAACAAATCAAGAGAGATCACACACACACACACACACACACACACACACACACACACACACACACACACACACACACACACACACACACACACACACACACACACACACACACACACACACACACACACACACACACACACACACACACACACACACACACACACACACACACACACACACACACACACACACAATGGCCAACAACATAGACAAACATCATTTGAGAAATCTCTCATTGGGTCTCTCATTGGGGGCCTAGATACCGACGCGCAGAGAGGGCGAGCGAGACCGACCAAACAAATGGATTGATGAGCTTCAGAGCGGAGAGGCAGAGACTTGGACGGCACTTGGAGTGCAGTCATCAACCTCACATCCAGGGCCGGGGAGCTAAGAAGCGCACCCAGCGAGCGGGCCAGATGGATCGGCATCGATCGGGTGGCGGGCAAGAGCCCTTGGGGGGTTCGCGTTCGCAGGGAAAGGGCCGTTAAGTTTACACGGTTCTCCGAGGGTTAGTTCCGTGTACCGGGTTTCCCCTTAACTGCAGAACGCCCCCTCTACTCGGAGCTAACACGGACCCACAACACCGTACTCCACGCACGCACGTACACGGATACACCTCAGAGACATTGCAACACAAACACAAACATCTCGATCGAGACATTGCCGCGAGATCCCATTCCTCCCTTGGCGCTTGGCTTCTGCGTTTTCTTTGTTTCTTTCTTTCGTTTCGGCTATTTGGGGAAGTTTTTCAGTGTATGTAACTCTTACTTTACATCGCGCCTGCCTCTCCCTTTTCTCCCAGTACGTACTTTTAGCTTACTGGGAGAAAAGAGAGAGGGGGTTGTGTTCTCTAGGCCCCTAAGGGCCCTACGCGCGGCGTGAGAGCTCGGAAGCGAGCTTTGCACGGCGATCGAGGATGGCGCGGATAACCCCCTTCACCGAAGCGATGGAGATGCGTTCCGCGTGGTGTGACACAAATGAGAGGCCAGAGGCGGGAGTCGGGAGGGTACGCGGTGCGGTCAACGCCCGAGCGTTGAGCCTCTCTCTCTCTCTCTCTCTCTCTCTCTCTCTCTCTCCCAGTATGTGTACTTTTAGCTTACTGGCTGGGAGAAAAGGGAGAGGGGGTTGTGTTCTCTAGGCCCCTAAGGGCCCTACGCGCGGCGTGAGAGCTCGAGCTAAAAGCACGTACGTATATTCCCGTAGGAGGACTCTGCTTTTTGGTTCATGTTTGTGAGTCTATCGGTAAGCGCGGGTTAGCGCGGGTTAGTGCTCACTAACCCGGCACGGGTCAGCACGGGTCAGAATGGGTTACCATAACCCGGCACTAACCCGGCACTAACCCGGCACTAACCCGTGCGGCTGGGGGGCATACGTCAGCATGGGTCTGCGCCGGGTTAGGGGTGGGTTAGGGCCGGGTTAGTGCAGCGCACCCCGGGTTAGAGCTGGTTGGCGAGATGAAACGGCTGCGGCGGGCACCCGAGCCGACCTCCGCGATGGAGCCTTGGCTGCAGAAGGCCGTGCATGACAAGGTGCTCATTGAGAAGAGCACCCGCGTGCGCACTTGACTCTTGAGCACTTGATAGGGCCGATTCCGCATGGTACGGGACCCCTCTGTTAACATATTCTGTTAACAGGTCGGCATGGTCTTCTGTTAAGAGGCATGTTGTTGGTAACTTTGATCGCGACACACCTCCCGTTGCGACCATGGCCTCCGCTGCAGTGGCAGTGCGGGCTGCAGGGGGCCCGGTCAGTGATGGCCCTAGGGAGGAGGAGTGCGCTGAGGGCGGTACATTATAGATCCTGTGGCATGAGACTGTCCCGCTCGCCATGCGCCCGCGGCTGTGGTGTGGCGAGTGAGTGAACGCACGAGAGAGGGGTGGAACGAACCGTAACCCAATCCCAAGCCTAACCCAGACTAACCCGAGACTAACCCGAGACTAACCCGGCGCTAACCCGCGCTGCTCGGGGGCATACGTTAGGATGGGTTAGTGTCGGGTTAGTGCCGGGTTAGCGTCGGGTTATGGTAGGTAACCCGTTCTAACCCGTGCTGACCCGTGCTGGGTTAGTGTGGCTTAACCCGGTGGAACCCACGGCTAACCCGCGATTACTGATAGACTCACATGTTTTACGAAATTTTCCTACACGAAACGAGCCCTAAAAGGGGCCAATAGAAGTGCTTTGCTGCTGGTGCCAATGTCGAGACAGCTTTCGGGCGAGCACACGCACTCGTCGTCGGGAAGCAGCTCCAGCGACGACGGGCCGCTTTTCCCCTTCACTGAGGCTGACTTCTGGACGGACTACTTGAGCGATGCGATCGATGTGTGCATCAATTGCGTCATCGCGCTCGTGCTCTTCCTAATCTTCTATCTGACAATATGCTGCGTCAGCGCGTGTCTGAAGTCGGCGCTGAAGAGGACGCCGTCGGTTGATTCGACCGTCTCCTCCTTTATGATCACGACGCTCAAGCTGCTGCTTTGGATCATCATCGTCCCCATCCTCGTTCAGACAATCGGCATCGGCGCGTCCTCCATCACATCTGTGATTGGGGCCGTTGTCGTGGGAATTGGGTTTTCGCTGCGGCCGCTCGCAGAGTCCTACGTGATGGGCATCTTCCTCGCCGTTCGCAAGCCCTTTGTCAAAGGAGACTTGATTCGCGGCGCCGGCAAGGTGTTCGGATTTGTGGAGGAGCTTTACCTGTCCTACACCGTCATTCGCGAGCCCGATGGCAACCTGACGTACGTGCCCAACAAGACCTTGTGGAGTGGCCCGATCACCAACATCACCACGTCGGACAAGGTGCGACTCGACGTCGGCAGATTCGAGCTCGCGCACAACGTCAACCTGGCCGAGGCCAATGAGGCAATCATGCGTGCCCTCACGGAGCTGAAGCCGCTCTGCATGGCCAAGCCGGCTCCGCCAAAGGTGCCCGCATCTCGGCTTGTGTCTGCACCGCTCTCCCTCCGCACGCCCATCCCGCCCTCGTCCCCCGGCGGGCTCGGCTGGTGAGACTTGAGCGGCGTCCTCGCACGCGATCCCGCAGATGCTTGTGCTCGAGGTGACGCAAACAGCGGTGAGCACCCCCCCTCCCCTCCTGCCCCCTCGCCAAGACGCTAGAGACGCCCCCAGCCTCCCACGACACGCGGCAAGCCCTTACCCGCAGCGGTGGTCACCGATGGCCCCTGCCTTGCACAGGTGGTTGTCGCGGCACGCATTTGGGTAAATCTAGAGGGATGCTGCTGTGGTGTCAAGGCGGGTGCAGCCCTCCCGATCCGAGAATATTCCTTAGGTCAAGCCAAAGGACGCGCTGCCCGCGCCTTTCGCTGTGCGCCAGGCGACCTAACGCATATGCAGATGTATCCGCCCGCCCCTCTCCCTAGCTCACCTCACAGCGTGCGGACGTTGGCGTCAGGCGGTCCGCGAGCACTTGCTATCAGCGGGGGTCCCGATGGCCACGGTCTCGCTCGACATTCGCGCCGCCATCGGGTCGCTGCCCGGCCTCAAGCAGATCGGCGCTGGGGGGCGGTCCGGATCAGGCAAACGCACCTCAGGAGGGGGAAAAGATGGCGGCGGCGGCGAGGAGGGTGCCGCGGCGGGCTATGTGGTGGGGTGACAAGCCGCGCGATCGCGATTTGCTTTCCCGATATTTTGGCGCCGTTAAATGCTGTCACTTTGCACAGTCGATGGCGGGCTGATGTTTCTTGGATTTCTAGCTTTTGTGTTGCTTCTTTTGAGCGGAGCGCCTTCGTTGTTAAACTAATATACAAACGGGGGGGGGGGGGGGGTCAGTCACTTGTCAGCAGTCTCCAGTCACACACCCCACACACCGCGCACGGCCGCACCGCGCGCACAGAAGTGAGAGGAGCCCCAACACGTACTCGAGTGTGGGAGGTGCGTAGATGTGCCTGTAGCTGCGGGTTCTCTTACGACGGAGAGATGGTTAAAAATTAGGGTTGCCTAACGTGTTAGGAGAGCTGAACAGTGTTGCTAGTGTTAACAGTAACAACAGAACAACAGTGGGGCTTCCCAACAACAGTAGCTAACGTTAGGCCGACTGAACAACAGTAAGGAAGGCCTGGCAGTGACCCACGACGATCTCTAGTGTCCAGTGCGGGTAATACCCGAAAATACCCGGGAAACCCCAGGTATTTTCGGGTTTTACCCGGTTTTTTTGCCTTTTTCTGCTTGCTGGCCGCTGAACAACAGTAACAACAGTAACAAACAGTAACAGCATGGCCTGGGGTGAACACTTGAACAACGTTGAGGATTTCAGCCAACAATAGCGCAACTGTTAGGCCCCAAATTAACGTTACTCGTTAGGCAACCCTATTAAAAATTCGCCTTCCCTCTCCTCTCTCTCTCTCTCTCTCTCTCTGTGTGTGTGTGTGTGTGGTAGTGCCAGTAAAAAAAGAAAGAAACAGACAACCCAAGGGAGGGATGGGAGAGGACGGCACGCCGCCACCACACAGGGATTTTAAGGAGAGGGTTCGTATAGGCCTATAGGTTGTGATGCGCTAGCCGTCGCCCACCCTTGGGCGTCCGCCTCTTCCTATCTCCCTTCGCAGTCCCTCGCCGATTCTCGCTACAACCTTCAAGCCACCTCGCGGTCGTCCCACTCTCTTCGTTCTCTCTCTTGTCGCTTCTTCCTCTGTCGCGTCGCTCTCCTCCCGCCTCGTTCTGCGACGGCGCCGCCGCCTGCCGATCCCTTGCTCTCGCTTCTTCTCTCGCCTTTCGTCGCAGCTCTGCCCTGGTGGCGGCATATTTTGGCCCCTCGAGTTTATCGAGCTCTCCTCGCGCAAGGACGACTCTTCTGACGCCCACTCCGATCATTTGCCGCCAAGTCATATCGTTGCTCAGGTCCACTCTCTCTTCGAACACTTGTACCTCCACAGATGATGTTGGCGCTGGGGTCCCCTTCGGGTGTATCGTGACAGCTGCCAACGGGATTACCACAGGTGTGTCGCCCTCCTCGGGGGCGTCTTCCGGCTTCCTCCCGTTCGGCTCTACGTTCAGTACGTTCAGAAAGAAAGAAAGAAAGAAAACACACAACCCAAGGGAGGCGTCATTCGTCATGAAATTCTTTTTCCAGTGCGCGCCAGTCCCGTGCCCAGTGTTGTGCGAGGGAGTTTAGTTGTAAAATTCTTTTGTGTACCTGTGTTAGTGCCAGTGCGCGCAAGTCCCGTGCCCAGTGTTTGGCCCCTAAAATTCTTTTTTTCCTTGCTACGGCGTGTCGCTGCGTGTTGCATCTTCGAGGGGCGGCCGGGCTGTGGTACTCAGGATGAGTGAGCCTCGTAAGATGACGCTAGATCGCGCTGCCATCGACGGTCTGCTGGGAGTCTCCGCATTGCGGGCGCGCATCAACACCGCTGGCAGCGCAGAACCGGCTACACCGCCCGCGCAACCACGCCCTGGGAGGCCAATGACACTCGCCCTCGGCGCCGACGACGCTTTGGTGATGTCGCTCCGGGAGCGTTTCGCAGCCCTCGCCGCCGCCTCGGCTTCCAACGTGGCTTCTCAGACCGCTGCAGGCGAGACCGCGTTGGTCTCTATCCGGGAGTCGGACGCCACCTCCGACTCGGATAGCGAGGACGACCTGCGGGCCGCCCTGGAAGAAGCGGCGGCGGCGCGTCGTGAGAAGGAGGCGGCGAGGCGCGAGCGGGAGGCCGCCAGCGAGGCGGCGACGGTGGCCACTTTGAATGCCGTGGGTGTGCACCCCAGCCGTGGCGGGCAGGTGGGCGGGAGGGAAGCCACGGCGCCAGACGAGGCGGAGGCGGAGGCGGAGGCGGAGGCGGCGGCGGAGGATGCGGCAGCGGCGGAGGATGCGGCGGAGGAGGCGCCGGCGGAGGCGGAGCGAGCGGCGGAGGCGGTCGAGGCAGCGGCGGCGGTGGCGGCGGCGGAGGCGGTGGCGTGTGGTGGTGGGTCGTCTCTGTGGACGGGCGACGACGGCCTCGTGAGCTGCCGCTACGCGAGCGCGACGCACGTGGGCGGGAGCGGGCATGACGCGGCGAAGGAGAACCAGGCCGCCCTCCCGTCGCCCTCCCTCCTCTCCCTCTCCACTCCCGCCCCTCCACACCGCTCTCGCGCCGCTTCACGCCAGGACGCCACCTTCGTGGCCAGCTGCGGCGGCGGCACCCTCGTCTGGGGCGTGCTCGACGGGCACGGGCCGGAGAACGGCCGCATCGCGTCGTGGGCGGGCGCGGCGGCGCTCAAGGAGTACTTTCTCGGCAACGTCGCCGCCCTGGAGGAGGAGCCGGAGGAGGCGATGACGAGCGCCTTCAAGGCGGCCCACGACGGCATCGGAGCGGCGCTTCGCGCCAAGTACGGCCCCGGGAACAGCGCGGAAGACGGCACCTCGAGTAGCCTCGAGTCTGTTAGTGTAGAGGCAAGCCATCCATCGGAAGGCAGCGCCCTCCCACGCACCGCCGAGAGGCGCGGGGGCGAGGCCCCCCCCCCGGGCGGGCCCCCGGCGCCCGTCTTGAGCGGTCTGCGCCGTCGTCGCCCGCGCAGGCTACCTCCTCGGGGCAGACGGCGAGCCCATCGACGGCGGCACCACCGCCACTGTCCGCCAGCACCCTCGCCGGCCTGCTGAGGCCGTTGCGCTCGCATTCAGGGGTGCGCGGTCCCGCGGTGCGTAGGTGGCTGCGCTCGTCCGCGGGCACGTCCTCGTCGTCGCAAACGTCGGCGACTCGGACGCGCTCCTCGGCGGCCCTCCAGCCCGGCGGCTGCGACTCTGAGGAGTCTGACTCTGAGTCTGAGTGTGAGGACGGTTAGGCGGCTTCCTGCCCGATGGCGCGATCGGTTTCGAGCAGCTCAGCACAGGCGGTCACGCCGTCACGCGCCCCTCTTCTGTCCTCACCCTCGCTCAGTAGACCCCGCAACACTCCTCTCCCCCCCCGCGCCTCCCCGGCAGACCACACGCCGACGAGCCCCGAGGAGGTGGCTCGGCTCGACGAGGCGATGGCCGCCGCCCGATGCGTCTACGACACGGGGTGCGAAGAGGCGCGGCCACTACCACGGCCACCACCTCCGGCTTCACCTCCTCCCCCCCCAGTAGCCCTCTCCCCCTCTCCGAGTCACGTGTGGCCACACATCCACTGAGACGCACCCCACGCCTCTCTCCGGCTACCTGCAACGACGCGGCAGCACACCGCCCGGCCGCCGCCCCGCAGCAGCAGCACCGAGGCAGGTCCAGACATGCATGTCCAGACACCTAGGTCCAGACACCTAGGTCCAGACTTGGCAGCCACCCCTCTTCAGGAGGAGCCGATCGACGTCTTCCGGCGAGGCGCGGGAGGGGAGTGGGAGCTCGACCCCGACTCGCTCGCTCGAGTGGACGAGATCGGCCTCGGCTTCAAGACGGCGCCTCTCTCTGCACCACCTCTCCTCTCCCAAGCACAGAGCGTCTCGCGTCCACGGCTGCGCCCGCCATCACCCTCCCCGGGCCACGTGTTGAATCCCCCGCCTCACCCCAAAATTGAAACTTATTCTGGACTGGGGTGGGAACCAAAGTTTGAAACCACCCGCCCAGGTCCGAGGGCTTAGCGCCCCATGCCGTTAC